TGAAAGTAAGGTTGATTGTGCTGCACTGTTAAATAAGATCAATTTTCTGGTACCACGTCCTAGTATTCGCCAAGACCTGTTATTTTATAATTTTTATTCACGCACAAGTGTTTTAATTAGATCATCAATTTCATTGATGTGTTCTTTGTACAATACGATAGCTGATAAATGGCACATTCACTTTGATTCTTCTAGTTAAGGCTTTTATATTCGGGATTTGTCGTAATAGTTTTTATAATATTTCAGTTGATTTTTGTTAACATGAATTTATTTTTATTTATTTGTATTATTCCTGTAATTGGGTTGACCTCTTGGGATCAATAAACTATTATTCTCATTATTATTAAAAACATTTTGTTCCATTGTGGCTTAATTAGTAATTTTAGTCTTCTGTTTTGAGGAGACAACTCATTCAAATTAAACAAATTTCTACGAAACATCGAAGTTAAGCATGTACACTGATAATAATACACTCCTTTCCGTTGGTTATTGGAATGCTTTGAGAATCTTGTAGACGTACCGGTATCGTAAGCATGGTAAATTTTTAATCAAAATATCTGCTTATTCCCTCAAAAAATTGATTCCATCATTTCAAAATTTTACCGAGAAGATCGTATTGAAAATGTGCAAAATATGATGAGTGATCACTCTACTTGTGATTTATCATTGCTTTTATATTTATTTATTATAGACGTCCGGTAATTCAAAATAAGATCTCCGGGTGGACGTTATGGAGTTTAAGAAATGTAGTAAGGAAAAGAAAGTGGAAATTGTTCAATTCAATTTCTACTTTTTCTGTATGTTTTAAACTGGAGCCAATCTTCAGTGATCGACTTGTAACAAATCCTTGTCATTTAAAACGGACGTCGGAATGAACTATCCTCTTGAAAAACTACGACCTGTAAAGGATCTGGGTGTGTACTATGATTCCGAGTATAGTTTTAGAGAACATGTGAATAATATCGTGCTGAGTGCGAGGAAAATTTTACGATTTATGCTTAGGAACTGCAAGGATTTTAATAACATTTCTACTTTAACGGTACTCTATAATGCGCTTGTGAGATCTAGGTTACAGTATTCCTCCCTGGCATCGTTTCCTTATCATTATAATCAGATGCATCAAATTGAAAATGTACAGCGGAGATTCTTAAAATTTTTGTACTTTAAAGAAGACGGAAGATGGCCTTGCAGAAACTATTCTGATTTTGAGTTATTGAAAAGATACAAATTTAGTACCCTACATTCCAGACGTGTGGCTAATGCACTAATATTTATTTAGAAAATTATATATAACATAATTAATAATAGTGACATTCTTTCTCTTGTCAATTTTCATTTACCTAGAATAAATAACAGATACTCTAGTTCTTTATACAGGGTGCCGCATCCAAGTCTGGATATAGGGAATTAACATGTGAATTGGTTTTTATTTTATAATATCTCCCCAGATCACTTTAAAGCTATTATTGAGTGATGCCTTTGTAGAGGTCGAAGAGGGCTATCGGCCAGTATTTTTTTCAAATCGTTGCATCGCGCTCATTCACTGTAAAAAGGTTTTAAAAATCGTATTTTGAAATTCGCGCCCGATCCGAATTGTCGCGAAGTGTTCCGTCGCACCGTCGAAGTTCGGCGATCGCGTCTTTGGAATATCCATGCAAAATTCAAATGTCAAAGTGAAATTAGAAATTATTCTCAGAAATCAACGAACAACTCAAACTGAATTATTTTATCCAGTGTGATGATTATTGTAGGTCAGTTTGAACGGAATAAATGCACAAACTGTACAAAATATTTTATTAGGTTATGCTATGTTCTACTGCGATTAGATGAAAAAGCGAGGGCCTGCTTGTTCTTCAACGGTTAATTTAATTAGTAGGTAATTTGGGAAAATTTCACACTTTTTTTCCGAATCACTAAAGATTGGAAGTCAATTGGGTTTACATTCGTTAAGCAGAGCTGGAGTTTTTGCCGCCTGGAAGCATGTTCGTTACAAGAAATTTTTGAGAGAGAAATGTAGAACATTGACTCATCAACATTTTAAAGTATTTTTCTCTATTACGAATGTGTTTTGGATTCAGAAACTTTTGTGTTACTGTTTTATTTGTTTATTGTGTTAACAACAACAAAAATAAAAATAATATTTCACAAAACAAAGTTACATTTATTTTCAAAGGTGATAAAAAGTAAATAAAATCAGGTGGGCACAACGTTTTCTAGGGATCTTAAAGAGATGGGATAGAAGAGTTTCAAAAAGCATCATGACAAAAAATTGAAGCCTGAGGACTACTTCTCACGTAGGGAGTTTTACGAAGGAATGCTTAAGAGAATCCAGGCTGATGGAGAGTTTTTGAGGAACATTTGTTTTACTGACGAATGTTCATTTGGTCTTAACGGAAGTTATAATCGTCAGAACGATCAAATTTGAGCATAACACAATCCTCACGTGGTCCATGACTATCGTTATTAATGGCGTGCAACTGTCAGTGTCTGACTGGGGCTTGTAGGACATCATGTCATTGCACCTCTTTTAATCGAATCTAGATTGAATGCTCAGAAGTAGGACAATATGCTAGCTCAGCAAATACTTCCTGGGACTCGAAGGGTGCGGCATCTGCAGCAGGTCTTTTACATCCAGGGCCAAATCTCCAGCCATATAGCTCGCATAAATGTTGTTTATTTGAACCACTATTTTTCCGTAATGTTGGAATGGAAAGTTTGCACCGCCCCATTGGTCTGTGCATTCGCGGGATCAAAATCCCTAGGAATTTTTTCTTTTGAGATTTCTTCACGACCATCTGTATTCAAACAATACCAGCTATACAAACAGAGATGCGCTGAAACAAGCAGTCCAACAAATATTATCTTCAGATTGCAACGCAAATGCTGATCAACACGCGTAGAAGTTTTGAAGATCGGCTTACTTACTGTACAGCTGCTGAGAGCAGCCTTTTTGAGCAATTCTTGAAAATAGTGCAATACTTCTCCAGATTCGTACAATATCTCATTACTTCATTCATCAACAATTGTTAAGTTTTGTTATTTGTAGTTATCTAAATGGTTCATTAAAAGGTTCTCTTCAAAAGCGCCAGCTGTTTTGATGGTAAATCTTATCATCACACAATAAGAAAAGCGGGCCCTCGCTTTTTCATCTAATCACAGTGGAACATTTTAATGAGATTTTAGTAATAAAGACTCGACCAGCACCAGTAACATAACCTAATAAAATATTCTGTGCAGCTTGTGCATTTATTCCGTTTAAATTGACCTACAATAATCGACATATTGGATAAAATAATTCAATTTGAGTCGTTCAGTGATTACTGAGTGAGGCAGCGCGAGTACATTCCTAGCTTGAGGGCTCCCAGGACATGTTACAATCCTGCCGATGGGGTTTTGAGGAAGACCAGCTGCTCGAAGTCTTCATCTCGGGCTTTTTGGATACGGTCTGAGTGTAGTTCGAGATGGCTCGTTTGACGGGGTCGCGCACTATGACGAATGAATGGATCAATTTGTGCATTTATTCCGCTTAATTTGTCCTACAATAATCATCACACTGGATAAAATAATTCAGTTTGAGTTATTCGTTGATTTCTGAGAATAATTTCTAATTTCACTTTGACATTTGAATTTTGCATGGATATTCCAAAGACGCGATCGCCGAACTTCGACGGTGCGACGGAACATTTCGTGACAAATCGGATCGGGCGCGAATTTCAAAATACGATTTTTAAAACCTTTTTACAGTGAATGAACGCGATACAACGATTTGAAAAAAATACTGGCCGATAGCCGTCTTCGACCTCCACAAATGCATCACTCAATAATAGCTTTAAAGTGATCTGGGGAGATATCATAAAATAAAAACCAATTGCCATGTTAATTCCCTATATCCAGACTTGGATGCGGCACCCTGTATAGTAAATCTCTTCACACGAACATAGGTAGGAAAGGAATACATTTTTATTTAAGTATTTTGAAAAGGTATTGCGATTGTGATTTATTTTCTTGTAGACAAATTTAAATCAATTTAAACTTTGTATTAGTGAGCGATTTTCTTAGTTGGAGTGAGTATTACTGTTAGTTAGTCATGATTGTCTGGTAAGAGTGTTACGTTATTGAAAGGCACATGCATATACATATATGTCTTTGGTTATTTATTGCTTCTTAATTTTTGCCGTTTATTGCTTCATAGAATTCTAACTTCATTCTAGTATAATTTGTCATCTGTATTAGAATTAGTATTAGAATGTATATTTATTTATTTATGTATTTTTGTCCTATAATTGGAACTTGTTTCTGTATATTCTCTCAAAAAATCATTTCAAAATTTTACCGAAAAGATCGTATTGAAAATGTGCAAAATACGATGAGTCTACTTGTGATTTATCATTGCTTTTATATTTATTTATTAAAAATCTAAGAATTATTTTATAGACGTCCGGTAATTCAAAATAAGATCTCCGGATGGACGTTATGGAGTTTAAGAAATGTAGTAAGGAAAAATAAAGTGGAAATTGTTCAAGTCAATTTTTACTTTTTCTGTATGTTTTAAACTGGAGCCAATCTTCAGTGATCGACTTGTAACAAATTTTTGTCATGTAAATGGTTTTCGCAAATGCAACTCAAAATTTAAATCTAAAGCACTTCAGCATGATGATTTAAAATGACAAGGCGGCAATTTCCTCAACCTGTCAAATGGGAAAGTCAGAAGTTAACTATAGAGTTTTATTTTCGGTTCATTTGATAAATGTTCAGATCCCTAAAACATAAATTCATCTTAAATTTTTATATGTTATTTTTTCAAATTCAGTTATGGCAAAAGTTGAAGTGAATTAGATTTTTTAAAGGAAATAGTCAAAACAATTTAAATATGCTAGTGGAACTAAATATCATGTGCACACTGTTGTGTGAGTTCATACAAGTAACGTGTATTACATTAGAGTACAAATGTGTTTAACAAATGGTATTTTTATTATTTCGAGATTTGTGAAAAGAAAATACTGGTATATTAATTAAACTAGTTCACCTCTTGCGATTTTAATCTGAACGACAAACGTCAAAGCAGATATCAAGTTTCCTATAACCTGAAACGGAAACGATAATAATTTTGTTGAAAATCTGTTTTGGGTTTAACACGTATTTAAATCGAAGGTTCACCCCCATTCTAGACATCACAATTTAAAAAATTAACACCACTTAGACGATACCATATTAAGGAATTTGTCAAGTTTAATGTCTTAGGATTACAAAATTGTATTCAAAATTAGAAAAAAAAAATGTCTTTCAGAATGAATGTAAGTATCTAAAATACGTGCCTCCACAATGTAACTAGGGTAAGTCTACTAGTTGTTAATATTTTCAATAAAGATGGTAACAACGTGACGAAAGTAGAAAAGGATTACTTACATCAACTGCCAACCGATAATTAACTGAGATATTTTCAGTGTAGTTCAATTTAAACGGTTTCTGGGCGTTCGTAAGATATATAAGGTAATTTTTTTTGTTGGAATGATTCCAGTGGTACCATTTAACACGTGCAGAAGTATCAAAAATGTCCTGCGACTGAAACATATTGATTAGGAACACTTACACAAATTAAATATTTATTCACCAAGTCTTCGATATATTGCCCATATGATGTAAGCAAAAATAGTGTGAAGAGTGTATTAGTGAAAAGTATAGACAATAAAATATACTCTTTAATCGGCTTACTTTCAAGCTGGAATATTAGGGCATTATATACTATTTAATAAAGACTTCCGCCGGTCTGACATACCGAGAAGTAGCAAGCAACAAAACTAACAAGAGCTAAAGTGGCACAGATTTTAAAAGGAAACATCAAACCCTTTGCTTTTCCTTCGATATGGTGCAATAGTCTAAAATTCAAAACAGTTAAAAGCAAGATTTTGCTAAAAATTAAAAAAAAAATACTTACACACAGGTCTTGACGTGTAAATCTATGATCCATTTAAGTCTTTCTGATACAGTTTTGTGATATACTTCGTCCAGTTTTGACTGTTGTAGGTTTTCATATCCACGATTTACTCTTTCCATTCTGTCTATTATTATATATATTGCCAATTTAACTCGGATGAACCCGTAAATCAGTTGATAGCATGGTGATATTGTAGTGGGGTAAGGCACAAAGCAGAAAAAATATCGAATTAAAGAAACCATAACAGTGGTAACCTTCCACTTAGGTAAATATGTTATGAGCTCTTTGTCATATAAAAAATCGTCGTCAATATCTGTAGTTGCTGCAAGCATTATCCCCGTCATAAAACTTAAAATTACACCGAAACTCAGATAAGATAACCCGTAATGTACGTCTCGTGTAATTTTCTCTGTAACTTTTGGAGACACGTCGTCTTTCACATTCCACGAATCGATTTCCTTTTCCGTGAACTCTACTAGATCTTGTAGAACATAGGGTAAACATTTGAAAACCAGCAACACCTAAATGGACATACCGCTATCGCAGGTAATCGCGTTAGTACTTTTGTAACACTTACGTATAATAAGAAAGTGTAAAATGTTCCATACTGGGTAAAGTAATCGAAATCAAATTTATAGAAAAACATGCAAGTTTGAACCAAAATCAGGAGGTACCCGCTTATTTGTAACAACAGTAACACATATTTTATAGCTTTCAGGTGAAATATCCTAACTGTCAGCCCGCGGTATATTTTTAAACAAAAATCATGCGTTAGCAAATTACGACACTCTGGAATTGTTAATGAATAAGAACTTATACTGGTAGACTTAAAAAAGACTTACTGGAGATAATCATGACACTATGATAACGGATGAGGACACAAATAAAACTGAAAGACTCTGAGAATCTATTTAAACTACTGCTTGGAAATAAAAGTTTGTATTAAGGATTACTAAGTAGAGAATAATTGTTCTGTTCGATTTAAATTCATAATTGAATAAATAATAACGAAACGAGAGCTCAAACTAGGTAATATTTGCTTAAAACTTTTAAAAATGTTCGGACACGATATCTAGAGTTCATTTGAAAGAGAATGTAAATATAACTGCTGACCCGTCTGAGTATCAGTGTCATAAATTATTGTCAAAAAATTGTTTTGGCGCATTAAAATATATTTTCATGTAATATATCCATTACTAACAGATTTACTGTTATAAGTTATAAGTAATGAACGTAATTATTTTAGCTAGCTTTGCGTTAGAAATAGAGAAAAAGAAACTATCATGCGCAGAGCATCAGAAACAAAAAGCGGTGAAAGAACTAAAAAAGGATAATTTAACAAGTCAGTCCCACAAGTTTTTCAAACAACAAAACACCGAAAGTAGTTCTGTAACTGTAGCTATAGTGGAGATCCTGGAGATCCACATTTAACCACTTTTGAAACCCCCGTTGATTTATCTCCTTCAATTTCATCACATCAACATGGGGAATCACATGCATACCAATCCATCGCTTCCAAATCAGGCGCTGATCCTTCTTTGTCGTTCTCGGATCGACCATCAAGTTCGGCAACAGAAGCAATAAGCAAAATTGACATGTTAATGAAATTTAAATCAAATGACCCGGAGACTTGGCCCAAATTTAGTATTGACAAATTTAGAAGAATTATAGTTGAACACGATCTAACCGAACAGAAAGGAAATAATTCCTCTCGAAAAGATGATTGTGGTCGAAGTTTTAGTAATAATTATTTAAATCGTAAATTGGCAAATAATGACACTGGTCCACGAACATGGTATATATTCATAGAATTTCATATAACCGAAGATAACTGTATCTGCATCGACAAACTTATATTTATACGAGACGACGATTATGTACAGAATAATTCCGACTTAACTGGAATGGACTTGACTCTAATTCTCTCATTGATCGGATTCAACTGACTGCTCCCGACGGTGGTCTCTATTTAAACAGCTAGCGTTCCTTGTGAATAGTTCGACGTTACTGCTTTGACCTTGTTCTGCAGAGACTTCCGCAGAACCGCTTCCAGGCGCTTTTTATTCGAATGCTGCCGTCACCGATGATGAGTCAACCATCATCACCGTACGTACTAGAAAACCCATAGGCACCGGGGCGGCGTATGGGTTTATTTACTGCTGCATTTAATGCAGGTGCCAGTTTAAAGTTATGTTGTAATTGAAAAAATTGAAAAAAAGAGACTCGTTTCATTACAACTCTGATGGCATACATAAGTTGTTTCTTTGATGGCATAGTGTGCCATTATAGGCATAACGACTTGATTCTAATAAAAAGTAAGAAGGCTGTTTTTACAATAGAGGAATGTCATCTGCAGCCTCGAGACAATCTAAACGAAGGTTAAGAAGCAACAATAGCAGAGGAAAAACATATCGGATGCTTTGAGAAATGTTCGAGAAACAAGATGGGATGGCGATTAACGTCGAACACCTTCAACGTCCCTACTACTGAACTGAAAAGCATTTATAAGTACTCGTAATTTAAGACAAATAGCGATAACACTTGTCGAGATTGTACACGTGAAAGTGAAACAGAGAAACTAACTTAAGCGATATTTTCTACGAATTGCAATAATCGAATCACAATGCGATGATCCAGACTTTTTTATTACCTTCCGTTTATTAAATAAAACGTAGCATTTTATTTGATTTTCAGTGTTGTCATTCACATTCAGTTAGGATCTAGGGGAAGCAAATATCTCTCTAGGGTTTATTTCGTAACACTACATTTTCTTAAATTTATTTTATCTAATGAAAAGAGGGGGTAGGGTGGTTAGACACATATATTTTGATTACAAATTTACTATGTTTGCGACAACCTTGAAACGTCTACCAGATTTCAAAGCATTCGATTTTGCAGTTCCTGTTTTAATCCATAAAATAAGTGACTCATTCATTTTGTTATTTACTTTGCTGGTGACGTTGCCTTATTTATTTTCATTAAAAGATTGAAACGCCTAATATCTACACTTGAAGGCCGAAAATTAGGTTAAGATAGATTTGCGCATAGTGAAAAGGCAGAGTTTTTCCAACAGTAGTAAGTTTTTCAACAATAAAAATATCATCAGGATATTCTTCTTTGCGATAGTTGGTGACAGTATTTTTGCTAGCATTATTATTACTGATTCTTGCTACATACATTACGCACATTTGGTGATGAGCTTCTGTTGCTGTACTTACACTAGCAATCTGCTTCTTTTTCCTATCGCGTTTCTCAGAGACTTCTTTCTAACGAATATCCTTAGGGGCCAGAAATCGAAGTTTCGTTTTAAACTACAGTTTTCGCTACTCTTGAAGCCTGGACTTTTCTTGGATTATTATTATTACCTCTTACAGAATTATCTCGTCTTAAAAGGTCCTGATTTCCCTGGTCAGTTAGTAGATTTTGGAAGGATAACTGAGTTTATTTAACAAAACTTGTTGACGAACAGCTGATGGGTTGTTGGTTATTTTTGTATGCGTTTTTATATTCGATTATTTTGGTATTTCACTATTATGAGATAGAGCGAAGCCATTTTTTTACGTGAGGAACCTGTGAGTTCGACGTTTGAGTCCCGCAAGTTCCCAACTTCAGCTTCCTAACTGGTAGCAACTACATATTTAGTAAGTTAGTGTAAGTAAAGGTAACAGGGGCGGATCTAGATTGCTCTATTTATGAATAGGAGTTGTTAGAAAATTTAATCTACACATTTTCAGTACTTTTATATATGAAAAAAACAATAATAAAAATAAAATATAACCAAAAAAATAAAACACATTAAATAACATCTTTGTTTCTGTTTTTGATGGCATATGATCGAATGACGTTCTGATATGTAATGGATTAGGTTTACTGGCCCGACAAAAAAGGGCAACGACAAAAAGATGTTTGAAGTGCCAATATAATGATCAAAACAGATCAAAAATCTTTTGCACGGTAAAAAATATTTCGCGACAGAAGGTTATATTCAACGACAACCGAGGGGTAAACCGCAGAGGAAATCAATTGTACACGCTAGAGGAAATCAAAGGAAATCACAGGAAATCAAAAAGGGAATCAGAGGAAATCACAGGAAATCACAGGAAATCAAAGGAAATCAAAAGGAAATCAAGAGGAAATCAACGAGAAATCAAGAGGAAATCAATGAGAAATTAACGAGAAATCAACAAGAACACAAAGGAAATCCAAGTCGTCATAGTAAATCCAGTTAAACTAGATATTTTTTTCACTAGCAGCCTGGACGCATGCAAATGTCGACTCATTTAGTGGTAGCAAATTCAACTTTTGCTACCACGGGTTCCAAAAGAAAAATTGAGGTTATGTACGCAATGTTTGATGTGATTATTTCTTAAAAAATGAACAAATGTGTGCTACAAACATTACTTGAGTATACGCATGGTAGTTGGTAGACGGTAGAAGATAAAATGATTAACTCAGCGACAAGTATAAACGGTTTTCTTTGTGTTGAAGATTTAGATCAAGTTTGATTAGAAATCAAAACAAAATCATGTTGCGTCAAAAAATTGAACGTTTATTTTTCAGTTTATTGTCTTATGGTTTCTACTAGTGAAAAAAATAGTATATTAACCACGGTTGCAAAGCCACTTCTAGACCTCGCACTTAGAGCCCTCGACACTGCGCGTCTCGGGTTCTAATTTGCGCTCGGTCTAGAATGCTTGGCTCTGCAACCTTGGCTAATAATATACTATTCTAGAACTAATAAACGTAACATGTACGACATAAGTCATAGCATTCATCATAAGAACGAAAATATCAATTTAATCTTAAAAGTGGAGATTAAATAACCTTTTAAGGGCATAATGATAAAAAATTCCAGTATAATATAATTAACTGACAGCATGATATTTCAGCTTGACAGATATTAAAGTTGTAGTTAATGAAGTGCAGTTCCGATGAGAAATGATACATTATATTGCTTTATACCTACAAACCAAATTTATAATTTCACACCAATTAGTTTTTAAAAATTGAGTTTGTGGTATGAGGTACGAAATTCATTAAGTTCAGGTCGTGCAAAAATCTTACTGATGATATGTTCTTGCCTTGGAAGTTTAGCTCTCAAACTTGTGAGAGTATGTTTAGAAGCCTTAGATCAATGACCTCAACTTTTAGCACAATTGTTAATTTTAGTATAAGAGATATGTTGCATCGAAGTGACAGACTGCAAAATATATATAAACAACATTAAAAACGATTTGGATAAAAAATTCGTTTTTCCTAGAGAAATCAGGAAAAAAAGTTCAATCATGAAGAGAGATTTTGTGAAAAATGATGACTTAGGAAACATTTCAGATAAAGATATACAAAGCACCGTAGAATCAGCTTTACGGGATTGTCTGCGTGACACTGAAGATTTAGGAATTAAAGTGATAGATTCCAACTATGTATTTTTGCCTCCGTGTAAAGACAATGAATGCAATGACGAAGTTGAAGATGAAATGTTTAGTGAAGAACAGTGCGATCACATTGAAAATTAGAACAATTCTCAAATAGCCATGAAACGTAACTGTTTTCAAAGTTTGGAAAACGATCCAATTGACCAAGATGAAGATTTACTGAATGATCTTTGCACAATTACGTACGAATCTAAGAAATTTGACAGAGACATACACCTCAGAAATTTTGATAGTGACGATATTTTTGTTGAGAAAGGTGATCTAGTCAGAATACGCTTAGATAATACAACAAAAGTTATAAAAAAGTCTCCACTTTGCTGGCTGTTAGACAATGAAAAGGATCGCGTCAGCGTGGATCGTCTCAAAAGATTTATTCAAAATAAGAAATGTAATAGTAGTAGAGTTAACTCAGAAACAGATACCTGCCTTCAACATAAAGATGCATCTCAAATTCAAAAACCAGTCCAAATTGGAAAACAAAAAAGACGCTATAATATATCAAGTGACTCATCTGATTTAGACAACCCAAGTAGTATCGAATATGATGACAGCACGGACACCGAAAGTTTGAATTCTTCCAATTATTCTGATGATTTGAATCCTCGTTTGAATCTCAAGGCTGAAAATAGTAAGACTGATCGTTCTAAACCAGACTTAAATATAGACGATTATATTATAGTACAATTAACAACTCAAAAACAAAACAAAAAATGTTACATTGGTAAAGTGTTATCACTTAACCTTATTTTTTGTGATTTTTTGGAAAGGAATCCAAAAATTTCGGATGCTTTTATGTTTCCGGACATTAAAGATCAGGAGGAGATCCAAGAAAATGAATATATAATGAAACTACCTCCACCTCAGGTACTCAGAAGAGACAGTTTAGTTTTTGAAAAAAAAAAATATTGAAAAAATATTTGATTTAATTTTAGTTTTTTTTTTAAGTGCTAATATGCAACTTATCACGAAGTAGTTGTGATAATTAATACAATTCACCTTATCCGACACAACTGTAAAATATTGGATAGATGGTTTTCTGTAACAATATGGCATTTATGTTTTACGGCTTCCACCGTACTACCGTACCTACCATAATCCATCGAACTGACATGGAGGTTTTGCAGAACCTATTATCACTGCGAAAAAATCAAGGTGGACTGGTATAAAAGCATGGGTATATGTACACAAATGCACTCTCATGGGCATTCAGCCGACTATAGTTTCCTTGGTGGAATTTGATGATTCCGATACAAACCTAGACGATTAAATAACTTCAGAGTGTAAAAACGTCGAACATGAACATGAAAGTCTTTAAACCATTGTTTGTGTTTTCGTTCTCCTTTTGAAGAATGTTGACCTGGATATTTTATCACGACAAATGTGTTATTCCAGTCATTCGTTCCCAAATTAATTTCACAACAAAAAATGTTAATCACTGGTGATGATGTCCGTCCAACTTTTTGAAAAAGAGTTTTTTCCAATTTCTACTAATGAAATGCTCATTTTGTATGTTAAATCTCGCTATTAAAACAATAGTTTAATCGAAAGGATGAATAAAATGTTTATAGCAACACTTTATTCACACTGTCATTGACAACACGAATAAAGTAAAAAATCTAAAAATTCGCACTACCACTGAAATTTTCATTGCTATGGATGTGTGAATATTCAACTAAAATTTGCAACGCTTGATAGACCACCTGTAAAACAATCCTAATGAAAGTCCAGGAACATGCTTTGAATTTGACCGTGACGAAAGTACAGGCAGCTTAGGGAATTTACCTTCTTTAAATGTTCATCATATTAGTAATAGTACAATTAATACTTACGTATATGGATTACCTAAACAATAAATTTTTTAAAAAATTTTGCGAAATTGGAAAAAATCTTGTATGATACACGTGAATAATAAACTGTTTTTTCGTTGGATAAAATTCACTTTTATTCACTTATACCATAAATAGCTATTATCCATCTTTTCTAAGTATGTACACTGTTAACTGTAACAAAAAGTAAAAATAAATTTAAAAATGTGTTTTATTGATTTTTAGAATTGGGTTGTGAAAGCAGGCAATTAACATTAGGCTTTGGCCTGTAAGTCAACGGTGTTTCATAAAAAATTGTAATTAAAGTGACTAGATCTAATATTACATTTTAAGTTACGGCAGTTTATACTTGTCGCAAAAATTTCGTAAGTTTTACGATTCTAACATTAAGTATAAGTCCCAGACCCAGTATTGCAAATCCATCACACATGGATGGGCATGCTAGCCTGAAACTTACGTTTCTACAAAGCGGGCATGTGTCACCCTACACAGTGTGCAAACGGTTTCTCTCACATTTATGGTTGGACTACTGTTATTTAAATTGTAGCAATGGATTTTAAAATGTTACAAGGGTACAATTTTTTTGTGACAAGTATACCTGATCTCTAAAGTGGAAAAAGAGAAACTTAACCTATGTGCTAGACAGAGATAGTAGGATAATAGTAATGTCTTGAACCGATGCTTGATACCAATGTCGAAATTGTCAACCTAATGACCAGTATACAGGCTGGTCGCTTGAATGGCAAAAAAATATCTGCCAGCAAAAAACACAGATAGTAAGGACAATCCTATTTTCTTTTAAAAAAAAACACTAAATGCCACCTAAATAAAATCTACTCACATGAATTGTACTTTTCTCACAATGTCCTTTGTCAAGTAGTTCGTACAGTTTCGGCCACAAAATCTTGGACAGTTCTGTCATTCCAGTGACATAAGCTCTAAAACAGGCTTTACGTACTTATAACTTCAAATTGGCCATGTATGCCATTTTGACGTAGACTGGAATGTGGATGATGACGTACGTCAAAATTTATTTTTTAAAAGTGTCAATCATTAGGACAATAAAGCATAGACTACATCGTGTTTTTTTTCAAATACTGCTCAAAAGTTTCCTGGCCGAAACTGTACCTCATTGAGGTTTCTTTAAAATAGGCTTGTAATTTTAAACGATTGATGTCGACAGTTCTTCGGTTAGCCATGGCCAACTCAATCTACTTTTGCTGCGCTTCATACAAGCGAAGCGAAGTGTGAATGGAGTTGGCCATGCTCGAGCTAACAGTTTCCTTTGACCTTACTTATGATATCTGAATACCGGTGATTGATATGATACAATTTACAATATTTTCTGGAGTGCGTGAAAGAAGAACTAACTACTGGTAGACTATTTCCTAAAAAAAAAAAATAAAACACGGAAAAATAACTTATTAGCATAACATCGCCTGAATTTCTAAATTTTACTGCAACATGGTTAATTAATTGCAAGTTGCAAGACCACATCTACAATTATATCACGAATTTGTGGTGAAGGTAGTTTAATGGCAAACTTTTTCTTTATGATAAAAAACAGTCAGCGAGGAAAGCCCGTGAATCCCCCAATATAATGTAACACTGGCAGTCATTTGTGATTTGAACTCTCTGCATAGTCTTTGATTTGTGTTCATATTTAAATTTCTTGCCACGTCTTTGTAAAAACTTGAGTATTTTCATTTAGTAACTTTAATGACGATTTGCTTTTTCTTTGTGTGTTTAAATTTATGATATTCAAATATTTGTATTGATTTATAACATAAAACATACAAAGAGACATAAAGAGTACGTTGTGGTTACGTATTCTTTATGTCAAAATCTCTGTCAATATATTTACTATGTTGAGAACTATCCTCTTCAAAAACTACGACCTGTAGAGGATCTGGGTGTGTACTATGATTCCGAGTATAGTTTTAGAGAACATGTGAATAATATCGTGCTGAGTGCGGGGAAAATTTTACGATTTATGCTTAGGAACTGCAAGGATTTTAATAACATTTCTACTTTAACGGTACTCTATAATGTGCTTGTGAGATCTACTTAGGTTACAGTATTGCTCCCTGGCATGGTTTCCTTATTATTATAATCAGATGCATCAAATTGAAAATGTACAGCGGAGATTCTTAAAATTTTTGTACTTTAAAGAAGAAGGAAGTTGGCCTTACAGAAACTATTCTGATTTTGAGTTATTGAAAAGATACAAATTTAGTACCCTACATTCTAGACGTGTGGCTAATGCACTAATATTTATTTAGAAAATTATACATAACATAATTAATAATAGTGACATTCTTGCTCTTGTCAATTTTCATGTACCTAGAATAAATAACAGACACTCTAGTTCTTTATATACTAAATCTCTTCACACGAACATAGGTAGGAAAGGGATACATTTTTATTTAAGTATTTTGAAAAGATATTGCGATTGTGATTTATTTTCTTGTAGACTAATAAATCAATTTAAACTTTGTATTAGTGAGCGATTTTCTTAGTTGGAGTGAGTATTACTGTTAGTTAGTCATGATTGTCTGGTAAGAGTGGTTATGTTATTGAAAGGCACATGCATATACATATATGTCTTTGGTTATTTATGGCTTCTTAATTTTTGCCGTTTATTGCTTCATAGAATTCTAACTTCATTCTAGTATAATTTGTCATCTGTATTAGAATTAGTATTAGAATGTATATTTATTTATTTATGTATTTTTGTCCTATAATTGGAACTTGTTTCTGTATATTCTCTCAAAAAATCATTTCAAAATTTTACCGAAAAGATCGTATTGAAAATGTGCAAAATACGATGAGTCTACTTGTGATTTATCATTGCTTTTATATTTATTTATTAAAAATCTAAGAATTATTTTATAGACGTCCGGTAATTCAAAATAAGATCTCCGGATGGACGTTATGGAGTTTAAGAAATGTAGTAAGGAAAAATAAAGTGGAAATTTCTGTATGCTTTAAACTGGAGCCAATCTTCAGTGATCGACTTGTAACAAATTTTTGTCATGTAAATGGTTTTCGCAAACGCAACTCAAAATTTAAATCTAAAGCACTTCAGCATGATGATTTAAAATGACAAGGCGGCAATTTCCTCAACCTGTCAAATGGGAAAGTCAGAAGTTAACTATAGAGTTATATTTTCGGTTCATTTGATAAATGTTCAGATCCCTAAAACATAAATTCATCTTAAATTTTTATATGTTATTTTTTCAAATTCAGATATGGCAAAAGTTGAAGTGAATTAGATTTTTTAAAGGAAATAGTCAAAACAATTTAAATATGCTATTGGAACTAAATATCATGTGCACACTGTGTGAGTTCATGCAAGTAACGTGTATTACATTAAAGTACAAATGTGCTTAACAAATGGTATTTTTATTATTTCGATATTTGTGAAAAGTAAATACTGCTATATTAATTAAACTAGTTCACCTCTTGCGATTTTAATCTGAACGACAAACGTCAAAGCAGATATCAAGTTTCTTACAGCCTGAAACGGAAACGATAATAATTTTGTTGAAAATCTGTTTTGGGTTTAACACGTATTTAAGTCGAAGGTTCACCCCCATTCTAGACATCACACTTTAAAAATTTAACACCACTTAGAGGATACCATATTGTTACGATTGACGGACGAATAATAAATCGGGTGTTGGTAAAACTCAAAAAAAATTTATTTCTTCAGGTCGAATTACAACACTATCTATTGCGACGAATATGTACAGAAATTATTCCGGCGCTCTCGACTGTCTTCACTGGATGAATGAATCCATTACCTACGGTCGCCTCTATTTAAACCCATAGTCTCTGATCGAGATCCTTCACGAACATCCATCGCGACTCCGCTTCGAGACTCCCCTGGACGCCGCTTCGAGACGCTCCAGACCTGTCTTTATGCGCCCGCCTCTCGGCCGTCAACAGCGATGATTCACCCATCAGCGCCGTGCGTACGTCCAGAAGGCTCTCGACCGCCATAGGCGTCGTACTGGGGCGGCGTAAGGGTGTATTTCGTAACACTGCCCCCCTCTTCAAATCCGATCGTCCCGATCGGAAGCGTCTTCGTTGTTTCCTTCGTACCGTTTTAGTCGATCGAGATGAACGATCTTCATCTTCGTCTTTGGTCCACGTTGGATCCGATAAACTACGTCATTTATTCTAGTGACGATAGTGTATGGACCTTCCCAGTCAGGAGCCAGTTTTGGGCAACGTCCCTTCTTCCGTCGGGGGTTATACAGCCACACTAAGTCATCTTCCTGGAATCCGCCACAGTTGGCCTTCACATCATAACGGGTCTTCATTCGGTCACTGGCAATCTTGATCCGGCCCCTCACTAGTTCATGCACGTTGACCAACTTCTCTTTCAGTTCGTCCACGTAGTCACGTACTTCCATTGGTTCTTCGGATGGCAATCCAAAGACTAGGTCACAGGGCAGCCGCAGTTCCTTCCCAAATACAACGTGAGCAGGTGTTTGGCCCGTGGTGTCGTGGATAGCTGCGCGGTAGGCCAGCAGGAATAGTGGAAGGTGCTGGTCCCAATCCCTTTGGTGCTCTTCTACCACTTTCGAAAGGTGTTGCTCCATAGTCCGATTGAACCTTTCCACCATGCCGTCGGACTGTGGGTGTAGTGGCGTTGTCCTTGTCTTACGTATTCCCAGTAGCTGCATCACTCTTTGGAAGACGTTGGATTCGAAATTGCGTCCCTGGTCTGAGTGAAGTTCCAAGGGGACGCCAAACCTACTGATCCAATTGTCAACCAGTACTTTCGCGACCGTGAGGGCTTCCTGATTTGGAATGGCATAGGCATCTGGCCACTTGCTGAAATAGTCGCTAGCCACCAGGATAAACTTGTTGCCGTCGTTTGTTACAGGGAACGGACCGGCCACATCGATGGCGATTCTTTCGAAAGGTGCCCCAACATTATATTTCTTCATCTTTCCCCTCGCCCTGGTATGAGGACCTTGGCTGGCCGCACACGTCGTACACTTGCGACACCAACTTTCGACATCGTCACGATGACCTACCCAATAAAACCTCTCCCGGATTTTCGACAAAGTTTTGTTCACTCCGAAGTGGGCTCCAGATGTTCCGGCATGAACTTCCTCTAAGACCTTGGAAACCTTTACCTTGGGGAGGACCAGCATCGTCTTAGAGGTACGCCCATCAGGACTCTCCCACTTTCGCTTCAAGAGCCCATTTTCCATGACCAAGGAATCCCATTGGGCCCATAATGCCTTCAAACTGGGGGATTGGTCGGACAATTCTGCCCAGCCGGGTCGTTCGACTCCTTCCTCCTTCCACTTTAGTATTGGTCCGATTATGTCGTCTGCTTCTTGCTCACGCTTTAACCGCGCCGTTGTCCATTCTTCATCTTGCTCAAAAATCGTCCGACGAACGGGCAGGTTCCCTTCTTCCGCGTCGATCCTGTCGCAGTGCTTGCACTCTCCACACGGACGTCTTGACAAAGCGTCAGCGTTGTTGTGTAGTCGACCCGCTCGGTGTTTGATCCTAAAGTGGTACTGCTGTAGTCTTTCCAGCCAACGCGCTACTTGGCCCTCGGGATTCTTTATCCGCAGTAGCCACGAGAGGGCGGCGTGGTCGGTCCTGATCAGAAACTCCTGTCCGTATAGATACTTGTGGAAGTGGTTGACGGCTTTGACAATGGCTAGTAGTTCCTTCCTTGTGGCACAGTAATTTCTCTCTGGTTTGGAATGTAATTTGCTAAAATATTCGATAACCCTTTCCTCCCCATCTTGTATCTGCGACAATACGGCCCCAATTCCCGAGTTACTCGCATCGGTATCGAGGACGAACATTCCTTTGTCCCTGGGGTAAGCCAAAATGGGGCTGGTGCACAAAGCCGTCTTCAGTCTCTTAAAGGCCATCTCACATGTACTGCTCCACTTGAAAGTCGCCTTCTGCTCCGTCAGTTGGTGTAACGGTGCTGCGATGTCGGCATACCCTTCTACAAATCGTCGGTAATATGTGCAGAGTCCCAAGAAGCTTCGTAGTTCATGCTTGTCTCTTGGTATGGGCCAATCCCGGATAGCAAGAACTTTCGTCGGGTTGGTTTCTATTCCTTTCTCCGACACGATATGGCCCAGGAATTCGACTCTTTTCTGGAAGAGCGAGCATTTCTTGGGATTTAGTTTCAAACGAGCCTTTTCCATTCGTTCTAGCACCTCCTCGAGATTCTTCAGATGGTCGTCAAACGTTTTGCCCATAATCATGACGTCGTCGAGGTATACCAGACAGGTCTTCCATGTCAATCCTTTCAGCACCATCTCCATCAGCCGCTCGAATGTTGCTGGCGCATTACATAATCCGAAGGGCATAACGGTGAAGTGATAGAGGCCACTTCCGGTGGAGAACGCAGTCTTTTCTTTGTCGTCCGGGTGCAAGCCTACTTGCCAGTAGCCACTCTTCAAGTCCAAGGTCGAAAACCACGCCGAGCCGGATAAGGTCGTCAAGGTATCGTCTATTCGAGGAAGGGGGTAACTGTCTTTCTTCGTGACGTCGTTCAGTTTCCTGTAATCGACGCAAAATCGGGTAGTCCCGTCCTTCTTGGTAACCAAGACTACTGGAGATGACCACGCGCTGTTGGATTCTTCGATTACCCCATCTCTCAACATGTTGTCCACGAGTCTTGTAGCTTCTTCTTGTTTGGCTAGGGGTAGTCTTCGAGGAGCCTGACGGATCGGTTGCGTGTCACCAGTGTTTATTCGGTGTTCTACGATGTTGGTCTTCCCGAATGGTTCCTCTTCTGAGGCGAAGACATTACGGTGCCTACGAATGAGTCCTTTGGCCAGTTTTCTCTCACGAGCAGACAGCTGGTCCCAGTTGACCTCCAAGCCTTTGGTATCCCTGTCCTTAGACTCATTCTCAACGTCTTCTTCCTCGCAGTTCAACACTCGGGCGACTGGCTCACACATTCCAATAATCTCCCCTTTTCTAATATTGACTGCATTGGGAAACACGTTTGCCACACGTATGGGTATGTCACGGTCGGTTTTGACTAGGGTGCTCGCGATCAGGAGCTTGTGGGTCGAGTCATGTGCCGGCTGCACCATCCCCAAACTGTATCCGGGGTTCGTCTCTACTCTGGCGGGGACGATGACTTCTGCATTACCATCTACCTTCGTTGTCTGACAGACCACTAGTCTGACTGTTGCAGCTTCCACATTCGGACGTCCCAACACAAATTCTTCGGCTCCGAAACGCAGAATTTTCTGTTCTGGGTCGATCATTAAACCATACCGGCTGATTAGGTCCATACCCAGAATGAAATCGTCAGCGATTTCCGCCACCAGAACTTCATGCTTTATTCGGAGTCGACCGAGCTCTACATTCACCACCGCTGTACCCAGAACCGGTGTTGTTTCTCCCGTGACCGTCTTCACATTCGTGGCGGTACGTACTGATTTAATTTGGCAATTTTGTAACCTGGATCTGCGTGCAAGGGACACTTCGGCTCCTGTGTCGATGATGATCTTCGATTCCCGTCCATTGATTTTTCCGCTGATTGTCGGACTGTCGACGCTTCCCGCGATACTTCTAACCATTACAGTTGTTGGGGCTTCTCTTTTAGCAGCCAGTACGCGCCCCGAGGTACCGACTGCCTTTAGTTTTCCTGCTCCTGATATAGACGAGGTCGCGGCTGCGATCTCCTCATCGGCCCTGGCGATCTAACACGGCAATCCCTCCTAACATGCCCTTGACGCCCACACTTGTAACATTCTAGGCGCCCTCCATGTTGTCTAGAACTGCCCGTCTTGATTTCGGCAATTATTTCGCGGGCGAGTTTCTCAAAGTTCTCGCTCATTTTGTCGAGACTCTCTTGAATAGGGTTTACTTCGCCCTCAACCCCAATGCCTCGTATCTTAACGTTGGAACGAGGTGAGCTGTTGTATGCGGCGTCCACTTCTAACGCTCGAATCAGCGCCTCGGATGGTTTCTTGAACCCGGAGATTTGCAGGACTCTTCTTACCTCACTATCTCTTACGCCGTTTACGAAGGTTTCTGCTGCCAGTCTGTCTTGGAAGTCTTGCGGAGCTTCAGGATAGGCGAGGTGTACCAAACGTTTAACATCAGCCGCAAACTCCTGAAGAGATTCACTACTCTTCTGAATCCTAGATTTAAGCTGCGCTACGAAAACTTGCCGGAGGTGTTCATCTCCAAATCTGAGTTCGAGGGCCGTCGTCAAAGCGGTATAGTCCTTCTGGTTCTCTTCTGATAATGTCTGTAGAATCTCCAGGGCCGCACCTCGTAGTGCTACTACCAAAACGGTCGCTTTCTGTTGGTCATTCCAGCTATTCGACAAGGCCGCAGCTTCAAATTGCTTCTTATAAGTAGTCCACGACGTCTGCCCATCGAAAATAGGGGGTTGAACTCTCACCGGACTGAATTCTGCAGGGGTCGCAATTGTAGGTCGTGGTGTTTGCAACCTTTCTTCGAGCTCCTTGATCTTGTTTTCCATTTCATTTCTCACCTCGTCCACTTCATTTCGCACGACTTGGAGGATTTCGCTTCGGCTGTTCAAAAGTGTAGTTTGCATAGCTTTTAAATTTTCTTCCATTATTCTTTGATTTTCTTCCATTATTCTGCGATCTTCTTTTCTATTTTCTTCCATTATTCTTCGATCTTCTTTTCTACTTTCTTCCATTATTCTTTGATTTTCTTCCATTATTCTGCGATCTTCTTTTCTATTTTCTTCCATTATTCTTCGATCTTCTTTTCTACTTTCTTCCATTATTCTTTGATTTTCGCTCAACATTTTCATCATTTTTGTCAGTTGTTCCTCCATGTTGGCTGTTTGCGCTCTTGTGGTAGTCGGCATAAAATTTTCTTCTAGAAACTTCTAGAGCCTTGACAGATGTCAATTCTCGAAGCCAATGTCAGGTGATGAAAGTCTAATTCCGTTATTCCACTCTTACCGCGGGAGAGAATTTTCTCGAAAGTTCACTTTGTTCCGGTCTCCCCTAGTAGCACCAACCAAATTCGAATCCCGATTTATTTCACAATTAATCCCACTCCTGACACCAGTGTTACGATTGACGGACGAATAATAAATCGGGTGTTGGTAAAACTCAAAAAAAATTTATTTCTTCAGGTCGAATTACAACACTATCTATTGCGACGAATATGTACAGAAATTATTCCGGCGCTCTCGACTGTCTTCACTGGATGAATGAATCCATTACCTACGGTCGCCTCTATTTAAACCCATAGTCTCTGATCGAGATCCTTCACGAACATCCATCGCGACTCCGCTTCGAGACTCCCCTGGACGCCGCTTCGAGACGCTCCAGACCTGTCTTTATGCGCCCGCCTCTCGGCCGTCAACAGCGATGATTCACCCATCAGCGCCGTGCGTACGTCCAGAAGGCTCTCGACCGCCATAGGCGTCGTACTGGGGCGGCGTAAGGGTGTATTTCGTAACAATATTAAGGAATTTGTCAAGTTAATTAATGTCTTAGGATTACAAAATTGTATTCAAAATTAGAAAAAAATGTCTTTCAGAATGAATGTACCTAAGTATATAAAATACGTGCCTCCACAATGTAACTAGGGTAAGTGTGAGTATGATGATCATATCGTATGTGGCAATTAGAACGACTCTTAAGATTTTAATAATTGGTAATTCTAAGAGCATTTATAAGTGTTAAAAATTAAATTTTGTCTGGAAAATGTTTTCTCGAAGATGATAGGTTTGCTTTTGTTAAGTTTGTACCCGCTTGTTGAAATTTTGCACTTACTTTTGATAAAAAAGCTGATGCTAAGTTTTTTTCTTCTGAAGCCAAAATAAAAATAATTTAAGTTAATAATAACACGTGACACTAGTTGTTAATTTTTTCAATAAAGATAGTAACAACGTGATGAAAGTAGAAAAGGATTACTTACATCAACTGCCAACTGATAATTAACTGAGATATTTTCAGTGTAGTTGAATTTAAACGGTTTCTGGGCGTTCGTAAGATATATAAGGTAATTTTTTTTGTTGGAATGATTCCAGTGGTACCATTTAACACGTGCAGAAGTATCAAAAATGTCCTGCGACTGAAACATATTGATTAGGAACACTTACACAAATTAAATATTTATTCACCAAGTCTTCGATATATTGCCCATATGATGTAAGTAAAAATAGTGTGAAGAGTGTATTAGTGAAAAGTATAGACAATAAAATATACTCTTTAATCGGCTTACTTTCAAGCTGAAATATTAGGGCATTATATACTATTTAATAAAGACTTCCGCCGGTCTGACATACCGAGAAGTAGCAAGCAACAAAACTAATAAGAGCTAAAGTGGCACAGATTTTAAAAGGAAACATCAAAACCTTTGTTTTTCCTTCGATATAGCGTATTAGTCTAAAATTCAAAACAGTTAAAAGCAATATTTTGCTGAAAATTAAAAAAAAAAATACTTACACACAGGTCTTGACGTGTAAATCTATGATCCATTTAAGTCTTTCTGACACAGTTTTGTGATAAACTTCGTCCAGTTTTGATTGTTGTTGGTTTTCATATCCACTATTTACTCTTTCCATTCTGTCTATTATTATATATATTGCCAATTTAACTCGGATGAACCAGTAAATCAGTTGATAGCATGGTGATATTGTAGTGGGGTAAGGCACAAAGCAGAAAAAATATCGAATTAAACAAACCATAACAGTGGTAACCTTCCACTTAAATAAATATGTTATGAGCTCTTTGTCATATAAAAAATCGTCGTCAATATCTGTTGTTGCTGCAAGCATTATCCCCGTCATAAAACTTAAAATTACACCGAAACTCAGATAAGATAACCCGTAATGTACGTCTCGTGTAATTTTCTCTGTAACTTTTGGAGACACGTCGTCTTTCACATTCCACGAATCGATTTCCTTTTCCGTGAACTCTACTAGATCTAGTAGAACATAGGGTAAACATTTGAAAACCAGCAACACCTAAATGGACATACCACTATCGCAGGTAATCGCATTAGTACTTTTGTAACACTTACGTATAATAAGAAAGTGTAAAATGTTCCATACTGGGTAAAGTAATCGAAATCAAATTTATAGAAGAACATGCAAGTTTGAACCAAAATCAGGAGGTACCCGCTTATTTGTAACAACAGTAACACATATTTTATAGCTTTCAGGTGAAATATCTTAACTGTCAGCCCGCGGTATATTTTTAAACAAAAATCATGCGTTAGCAAATGACGACACTCTGGAATTGTTAATGAATAAGAACTTATACTGGTAGACTTAAAAAAGACTTACTGGAGATAATCATGACACTATGATAACGGATGAGGACACAAATAAAACTGAAAGGCTCTGAGAATCTATTTAAACTACTGCTTGCAAATAAAAGTTTGTATTAAGGATTACTAAGTAGAGAATAATTGTTTCTGTTCGATTTAAATTCATAATTGAATAAATAATAACGAAACGAGAGCTCAAACTAGGTAATATTTGCTTAAAACTTTTAAAAATGTTCGGACACGATATCTAGAGTTCATTTGAAAGAGAATGTAAATATAACTGCTGACCCGTCTGAGTATTAGTGTCATAAACAAACTATTGTCAAAAAAATGTTTTGGCGCATTAAATAGTTATTTTTGTTACAAGTATACCTAAAACATAGTTTTTTGGGACGAATTTTACTATTCTTCGACTCGTCCGGAATAGCAAATGAGTCCCAAAAAACGTTTTAGGTACGTGTTATAAACAATATTTTTTTGTTCAAGCTCCCAAAACACCTTAAAAACCATTTATAAAAACGACTAATTTTGACAAACGAAGCAAATATTTATTGAAAAGTGGGCTAGTGGGCTGCCACCATAGTAACTACAGTGTTTTGTAAACACGAAAAAACCTGACATTTTTTTGCACAAAATGCAGAATCCCGCACATATTACGGAAAAAAGCAAAAGAAATCGTACTGGATTTACTTCCAGCGAAGTCTCGGCAAATGTACGAAAAGGAATATCAAATATTCCTACGATGGAAAGAAGGAAAAAAAAAATTGTAGTAGTAGATGAAGATGTAATGTTAAATTATCTTCATGAAAAGGTAAGTGCCGCCTTTATGTTCAATATTTATAAGCCTTACACATGATTATCGTGATAATTTCCGTATTTTGTTATAGTCACAAGAAGTAAAACCATCTACTCTCTGGTCAAAATATTCAATGATTAAAGCTGTTTTGTCTGTCAAAGAAAATATTGAAACAAACAAGTTTTTCAGAGTCATTGCGTTTTTAAAGAGAAATTCAGTAGGATACGAGCCCACGAAATCAAAAGTTTTGACACGTCAAGAAATTGACACATTTTTGACAAATGCAGACGATATGAAATATTTATTAATAAAGGTAAATTTAAAAAATATTCTATGTATCAGATAGATTTATTTTTCATTTTGTAGGTTGCCCTTCTTTTTGGTGTGTGTGGTGCATGTAGGCGTGAGGAGCTACATTCACTAAAAATTCAAGATATTATCCAAAAAGACGAAGAATGTCTAATTATAACAATTCGTGATACTAAGAGCAACATTAAGAGAGTCCTTCCAGTGATAGCTAAAGGCAAAGCTGTCAATGGCCTGGAATTATACCAGAAGTTTTTACGATTACGGCCCGAGACAGTTTAACACGATTATTTTTTCATTTGTTATCGTAATGGAAAATGCACAGTCCAACGTGTAGGAATTCATTCTTTTGCGAAAATGCCCTCGGTTGTTGCTGAATTTCTTAACCTCCCCAATCCCAAGGACTATACAGGGCATTGCTTCCGACGAAGTTCTGCATCTCTGGCGGCTGATAGTGATGTTGATTTAATCTCCTTGAAACGGCTAGGAGGATGGAAGTAATTTTTTTGCAATATAATTATTGTTTTCTTCTAAATAGTAACAAACTTTAGGTCGTCTTCTGTCGCAGAATCATATATAGAAGAATCTGTTGAAAGGAAGAAGAAGATATGCAGACAGTTATTGGGAGAAAAGCAAAACGAATCATCGACTAACACACTATATATAGTTACTACTGAAGCTACATCCACGACATCAAGAGACATCAGCCTGATACCTTCAAGCTCCTCAGGTATTTCGTTTGGATACAACAGTTTTCAGGGAGCTCAAAACTGTTCATTCCATTTTCATTTTGAGAAATAAATATTGTATTGTTGTATCTACTGCTTTAGAATAAATGTGGTTATTTAATTATTGATTTTATAGTTTTTACTATTCAGTCCCAAAAAGTTGCCATGGCAACTTTTTCGTACTAGTACGAAAAAGACTCATTTTACGGACACTTTTGAATCCCTAAAATAACCATTTTTGGGAGCGTGTACAAAAAATATATTTTCATGTAATATATCCATTACTAACAGATGTACTGTTATAAGTTATAAGTAATTAACGTAATTATTTTAGCTAGTTTTACGTCTGAAATGGAGAAAAAGAAACTATCAAGCGCAGAGAATCAAAAACGAAAAGCGGTGAAAGAACTAGAAAAAGATAAGTTAAGAAGTCAGCCGCACAAGTTTTTCAAACAACAAAACACCGAAAGTTGTTATGTAATTGTAGCTAGTGGAGGTTCTGGAGATCCACATTTAACCACTTTTGAAACCGCCGTTGATTTATCTCCTTCAATTTCGTCACATCAACATGGGGAATCACAAGCACACCAATCTATCGCTTCCGAATCAGGCGCTGATCCTTCTTTGTCTTTCTCGGATCGACCAACAAGTTCGGCAACAGAAGTAGTAAGCAAAATTGACATATTAATTATATTTAAATCAAATGACCCAGAGACTTGTCCCAAATTTATTAGTGTCAAAATTAGAAAAATTATAGTTGAACACGATCTAACCAAACGGAAAAAAAAATTCGTATCCAAAAGATAATTGGGCAGAATACTTCCGACTTGACTGGAATGTACTTGACTTTAATTCTCTCATTGATTGGACTCAACTGACCGCTCCCGACGGTGGTCCCTGTTTAAAAAGCCAGCTTTCCTTGTGAATAGTTCGTCGTTACTGCTTCGAGCTTCTTCCGCAGAACTGCTTCCAGGCGCTTTTTATTTGAACGCTGCCGTCACCGATGATGAGTCAACCATCATCACCGTACGTACTAGGAACACCAATAGGCATCGTACCGGAGCGGCGTATGTGTTTATTTACTGCTGTATTTAATACAGCTGCCAGTTTAGAGTTATGCTGTAATTGAAAAAATTGAAAAAAAGAGACTCCTTTCATTAAAACTTCGAATTTCCCTATGATGGCATACCTAAGTTGTTTCTTTGATGGTACCTACAGTGTGCTATTATAGGCATAACCACTTGATTCTAATAAAAAGTAAGAGGTCTGTTTTCACAATAGAGGAATGTCATCTTCAGCCTTAAGACAATTTAAACGAAGGTTAAGAACCTAGAATAGCAGAGGAACAACATGGCGGTTGCTTTGAGAAATGTTCGAGAAAAATGAGATGGCGATTAACGTCGAACAATTTCAACGTCCCTACTACAACACCAGGATTTAGTCGGGAGATGGAAGATGAATTTGCTTAACACATAAAGGATATGGAAATTATATTCTTCGGTTTGACACTAAAAAATTTATAGAAGCTAATTTTTGAATTTGCAACTCAAAATAATATCAAACGCCCCTTTAATGAAGAAAAAGCAACAGCTAGTGACAAATGGATACAGGGATTTTTAAAACGGAATCCACAGATATCTCTTGGAGGCTTGAAAAGACCTCAGCTGCTCGGACACAAGCCTTCAATAAAGACAATATCGCTTCATATTTTAAACTTCAATGCGATTATGGAAACATATAAGTTTCCAGCCGAAAATATCTACAGTGTCACCGAACAGTACAGTACAAAAACGACCAGTTTCTGCCAGCAGCCTTTATTTTGCCAACAAAAAAAAAATAAATAATTAAAAAATGAGCTGATGAACAACGCTCCCATTGTCAGCAAACCTTATTGTCAATAAAATGGTTGGAAGGCTTCAGAGATTTTTGTACAATGGTTCGAACATTTTGTACATTACACTAAAGTTCCGAACGAAAACAAGATTTTACTCTTTTTAGGCGACAACGAAAGCGACAAAAGCCTAGAAGTGCTACAATACGTGAAAGATAATGGTGTGATACTATACTGTTTCGCCACATATTGCACCCACCGTCTACAGCGACTGGATATAGATTTCTTTCACCTCTTCAAATTTATTACGGCCAAGAAATTCAGATTTGGCTTAAGCAAGATCCTGACACAATTGCCACACATTTCTAAGTAGTTTGTCTCTTGAATAAAGCTTATTTCAAAGCTGCTACACACAAAAATGCAGCACACGCTTTTGTCAAAAAAAGGAATTTATCGTTCGATCTTTTCAGAGTGGATCCAATCCTATTCTACAACTGATAGATCGTTAACCGACCAAAAAATGCCAAAATGTTCAAGAACAATCACAACAATGAACGTAGACGTTGAGCTGCCTAAATCAGACTCTGGAACACCAAAACTTACAACATGAGGGTTTCCCAAAGCTACTCGTAAATCCATGATAGAAAAGTTTCCTTCAGGCAGGAAATGGTGGTATAATAGGTACTCAAGAACTATTTACAGTGTCACAATCTTCACATGAAACTGAAGCTTCAAAGAAAAGATTAAGAAAACCTAGCAAAAAATGACACACCAGAAATTAATGAATTCAAAATGGAAGTAGAAGAAAATGCAAGGAAGAAAGGAAACGTTATCAAGAAAAGCCAAAAAAAGATTTTGGTTGAAGAAGAAAAAGACGATGTCGTTGACGATAAAGAGGTTGAAGACATTGATGTAGCCGGTGCTGCATGTTTACATTGCTAGGTCGAAAACAAGAGAAATGTGGATTTCATGTCAGAAGTATCGTTCGTAGTGCCACAGTGAGTGAGTGCGTGGGTGTCGAAAATAGTCAAGCCATCCACCTACAAACTTTGTAATTACTTCAAAAAATTGGTGGAAGATTATTTCTACAGAACTTTCCATAGCCATCAAATCCAGCTGTTTCGAAAAATGATAAAATTTGATTTTGGATTTTTTTTGTGATAAACCTTAAAGTTATTATAAGAATATGTATGGAATGTTCAAGTAAAGGTAAAGAAGCGTGCTACGTATTTGTTTCAAGTGAGTTTTTCCTTTACAAATTTTGTGATGACATCTTCAACATCCATGTAAGGACATACCAATTTGGTTAGATGTAGTGTAATACTAATAATAACGATACTGTATTCCCAAATTGTCTGGAAAATGGAGTGAGTAGCTCTTGAATCTTGATTTAATCAATAAAATAACGAAACAATTTAGTTATGTCCGCCATGTGTAGTAGGAGAGGTGCAGCTGAACCGAAAAGCATTTATAAGTACTCGTAATTTAAGACAAATGGCGATAACGCTTATCGAGACTGTACACGTGAAAGTGAAACAGAGAAACTAAACTTAGTGAAATTTTCTACGAATTGCAATAATCGGATCACAATACGATGATCCAGACTTTTTTATTGCCTCGACTTCCGTTTATTAAATAAAACGTAGCATTTTATTTGCTTTTCAGTGTTGTCATTCACATTCGGTTAGGGTCTAGGGGAAGCAAATATCTTTCTAGGGGAGGCGTATGGGTTTATTTCATAACAATACATCTTATTAAATTTGTTTTATCTAATGAAAAAAGGGGGTAGGGTGGTTAGACACATACTTATATTTTGATTACAAATTTACTATGTTTGCGACAACCTTGAAATGCCACCAAAACTTGATAAACAAGTCTGAGAATCAAAATAAAGCGTATTGGAGAATTGTTCATGAAACACTAGGAACTAAACAAAAAAAGATCGATATTAAATATCTAAAGATAAATTCTGAGATTATTTCTGATGAACAAGAAATTAGTAATTTTTTTGGAAATTACTTCTCGTCAGTGATTCAACAGAAACTGAATACACACTTTAATAATACGCTTTCCAGTCAATGTACGTTAAGTCCGAATAGTGAATGTACTATATTCGTTACTCCAGCTTCAGACAAAGAAGTTATAAATGTAATTAAAAGTATAAAAAATAAAAAATCCTGCGGTTTCGATGACTTGCCTATTATAATATTTAATAAAAGAATGTGCTGTAGAACTTGCGCCACATGTAGCTGATGTCTTCAATATATCAGTGTGTGAAGGGAAATTTCCCGATATATTGAAGTTGTCACGGGTAGTACCCATACTGAAAAAAGGGGATGAAACGGACATAGCAAATTATCGACCTATATCGATACTAAGCGTATTCTCAAAATTTTTTGAAAAACTGATGAGCATCAGAATCACAAGTTTTTTAAATGAAAACAACTTATTGTGTAACAATCCACATGGTTTTAGAGAAGGATTATCCACTGAAAGTGTCAGCAGTGAGTATGTTCAATATATATATGATAAAATGGATCATAATGAGTTCATAGTTACAATTTTTTTCGATTTATCTCGTGTGTTCGACACAGTTAACATAGAATTTGTCGAACATAAATTGAACTCATTAGGGATAAGAGGTGTAATAAATAGTTGGTTAACATCTTTTTTGCTTAACAGGCAACTAGTAGGTATTGCATAGCGAGTAAATTTGATGTCAATCTAGGTACCCCTCAAGGAAGTGTGCTAGGGCCGCTCATACTTTTAATGTACATTAACGACTTACCTGGGAACCTCAGAGATTTAGGAAAAACCTTCATGTATGCTGATGATACATCGGTAATTGTTAGCGGTAAGGATATAGACGAAGTCAAAAAAAAAGTTTAACAAATTATAACATTATTTATAAATTGGTGTAACAAAAATAGGTTAATTATAAACTATGATAAAACAGTTTTCATCGAGAGTTACAATTGTTACCGCTGTTCAAATGATCTTAGGTTTACTTTAAATAATATTACTATCAAAACAGAATTCTCCACCAAATTTCTGGGTACCTACATCGACAGCAACTTAAATTTCAAAGTTCACATCGATTATTTATGTAATAATATTAATAAATGCTGTTATGCAATATCCATATTAAAAAATATACTTAATACGCCTCAACTCCTGACCGCATATTACGCCTT